TGTGCATCCGAGGAAAGGTGCTCCAGACAGAAGAGTGCAAACTCCAGGACTGCACCAAATTTGACACATTAAGGCAAACCTTTTGGTCAGAAACAACTGTGGAACATAAACTCTATGGACCACTGAATGAACCAAAATCGGCAGTGAAAATTATACAGGAGACAAAATTGCTAATATAGACAACTTATTTCAGGCGAACAAAAGAAGAAGGGTTAAGTGAAAGCTAAAAATGGCAAATATCACAACCTAGCTGTAAACTACAGCAAAACATGCCACCCCCACCTTTTCACTTTAAGAGTTCATGCAGAGGAAGAAATATGTTTGTTCACTGGGTACACATATCTTAGACTGCCGCTTCGAGCAGAGTGGCAAGCTTCACTTGCATGGTCACATACTTTGGATCTTTTCTCCAGGCCATACCGGCGTGGTGGGGAATGAACAGGCAGACAGACTGGCTAGATCTGCACCGCTGGGTGGTGAACTGATAAATGACAAGGCAGATGTGGTCAGAGCCCTTTGGGAACAAGTAACAAAGTCAGAAGAAACTAGATTATATAAGGGCTGGAGTGAATGATGCACCTGGGTGTGACCAGAGGGTTCAGCCGACACACTACGCTCAGAGGAAAGGCAAGACAGACATACAACCAGACTACGACTGGCACCATTAGTACTGGAACTCTGCGCTGGCTGCTGAGGATGGGGACGAAGCGCATATGGAAATGCCCCAAGTGCTGTGATGTCTATTCTTGACTTAACTCAACTCTGAAACACCAGATGTTGAGAATTATCCCTATTTATTGGGGGGAATGTAATGTTTGACATCAGCCATTATAGACCCCATTTTGGTAACCCTAGACAATAGGCTATAACCGACAGATGTTGCCACCTTTCTGTCTGCTGAATAAAACAAGGTATGAGTGTACACATCCAACTGGGGTCAACAGTTGACCAGAAGACCGTACCATGTGACACACTGAAATTGCTTAACGGTGCAGAAGGACAGAAGTCTGTCTGGGAACCTGATACAGGTGTTCAGTTCTTGATGGCAGAGGCTGAGACACACTGGATTCTCTCAGTTGAGATATTTACGGCACCGCTTGGATCCACAAGAGCACGGGATCTTAACCTCCTCGATGGGGAACTTGTAGTCGTAGGTCAGCTCTTCTCCTCTCTTTATTCTGGAAAAGCAAATTAGGATTTATAACTTCTTAGGAGTCAACGGCAGTTATAGATGACAAGGAGACACAATTTACAGGTTAAAAAAAAATCCCTGTGTGGGGTCCGGGACCCCATTGTAGGGAAAAATGAATAGACCCACTGCCTCCCCAACAAGCTTGTCATAGGAGTCGGCTAATTGGGGGTATCCTTCAAAGTCAGAGTGCAGCTGCCTGAGAGGCAAGGAACCAACAGTCTGCATTCAAATAAATCAGATTTGAAAAAGGGATGTGCATGCAACACTCAGGTTCTGGAACAAGTCTCAGGTCCAGAGGTGGATGAACAACCAGAACTTTCCACGGAGTTTACACCAGTGAATGCCAAGAAAAAGACAGGTAAAAAATTGAATAAGCAAAATCGTTAAGCACACAAGATGTAAGCACCACCACCCCAGTGACATCTGTTGACTGATGCAATGTGCTGATGAAGGCTCTGTAGCCCCAACAATAACTGTTCATGCCCGGCTAGATAGCGCAGTTGGTTAAACCTGACAAACTCCTTGTGGTCCGGGTTCGAGCCTGGGGGTAGGCAGAAAAGCCACATTTCTCCCAGATTAATGGTATCTATCATGGAATCAAGGCCGAAGGGTTGCGACATCCATAGTACCAAGCCAAATGGTTAGCAACTCATAGTTTCTAGATATTTCTCTAAAAAAAAAACCACCATCCATGTGTGTTTGTATATCTTTTCAACACACTAAAAGACAATATCGTTGGCACTAATCCAAAGTCACTTAAGCCTTTTCTCTTGAACCTAGGGCAGCACAGGGGCCATAGCTCTTCCTGTCTGGTCGTTCTTTGCCACCTGTCTTAGGCCTTGGATGTTTATTAGCCCCACGGTTGATCCTTTTCTGATGGATGACGGTTCTATGCAGGGCCTATCTTGGTCTTCAATGTTTTTCCTTCAACTAAGTGCTCAACTTAAAAACTCTTGCTAAAGAAACCACTTTAGGACATCTGCATGGAACATTTTTTTAAATTGTTTAGGTGCGTGAAAAGTAATTATTCCTTTTGACCTATTTACTCGGAGTGGCAGTTCACATCGGAGCTTTCGGCATATCGTAAAGTGACCAATATCAGTCCTGAAAATGTACTTATGTGGGGGAAACAAATCGCCAAAACAGCACTTGCACTAGTTTGTCATAGTGCCAATGATGTATGCTCCGATGTTTAGAAACCTGACCAGCTCCAGTTTCCACTTTTGTCACGTTTAAATTATGGAACCAGAAGAAGAACAAATAATTATAACAGCATAGAAGGTACTTCATGCATTGCAAGGCGTTACACACATGCTCAGAGAGACAACATTGTAACAATACTTACGGCCTCATCGCAAAGATGACTATGTGCTTCTTGCCATCTACTAAGATGACTTTAGAGAAGCAGTTAGGCTGGGAAAAAAAGAGATAAATTAAGAACTTTTAAACAAAACAACAAACAAAACAGAAAGAAAAAACCGGGGGGAAAAAGACAGCAAGCTAATGTTACATATATACTTGCTAAAAATCTCTAATGAAATTTCTCTCTAATTATTTTGTCTCTAAAAGAATGTCCTCTTGCAGAGCTTGGCACCCTTTAAAAGTTATCTCAATAAGTTGTCCCTATCCTGAGAGACAGAGATGGAGAGGGAAAGGGGGAGAGAGAGGGAGAGAGAGAGAGAGAGAGAGACAGAGAGAGAGAGAGTACTGTGAGAGTGAGAGACAGAAAGAGAGTATGTGTGAGAGAGACGGACAGACAGACAGACAGACAGAGAGATACCAGAGTAAAATAAATACAAAAAAGAATTAGCGGGTGATCAACGGAGGGACATGAGGAAAGACAATGACTAACAAAGAGACAGAAAGAGTACTGTGAGAGTGAGAAATAGAAAGAGAGAGAGTATGTGTGAGAGAGAGATAGACAGACAAGACAGGCAGAGAGAGAGAGAGATACCAGAATAAAATACAATAAAAAAAAAAGGGTGACCAACAGAGGGACATAAGGAAAGACAATGACTAACTCACTGCAACAGGAAAGGAGAGGGAGAGAATTTAAAACACAGTGCATATTTAAGAATACAGTGCCCAGAGAACTAGCAAAGCTCACCTCGCAAGAATGGTTGATAAATCTGGCAGCACTCCCATGCATCGTAGCATCTACCACCTCATCATCATCAATACGGAACATGTAGCAGCCAATCCCCTGGCAGAAATAAATGATAAGTTAGTCATGGTTTGAAATTTCACAGCAAACTGGTCACTCAAAACTGCTCTGATTCTGTGCTAATGAAAGCCATATAACATTCCTACCACTGTCTTTTTCTGTTTCTGCGTTCATCTCACTGTCCCCATTTGAGAACTAGTGAAACACTCGCACACACAATAAATGCAGAAGGAAGCTAAAAGAAGTACCAACAGCACACCTCACCCCCACCCCCGCACCACCAGAACTGTTGTTTATTATCTGCAGACGCAGCAATCATGACAAACTGGCAACTGAACATACAACACTGCATGAGGCTTCCATTCAAATTCTGCAGAGCAAGACACAACAACAACAAAATAATTCTAGCTCAACATTCTACCAAAAGCACTACAGAATTCTACAGACTACATTAAATATTACCAGTGCTTCTCTTAACCAAACTAAGCTAATCACACAAGACATGAATTCTAAAACATAACTATGCTAAACTTATTTTTCGCATTCACCGGCTGTAAACTCTGACGGCGGAAAGTTCTGACTCTCTTGACCAGCCTTGTTCCAGAACGTGAGTGTGCATGCACATCCGTTAGATCTGACTTTGTGTGTGTGTGTGGGTATGCAGACTGTTGTTTCCTTGCCTCTCAGGCAGATGCACTCTGACTTCAAAGGAAGCCTCCAGTTAGTTGACTCTTACGACATGCTTGTCAGGGAGGCTGTGAGTCTATTCTTGTCTCTCCCCCCCCCCCCCCCCCCCCCCCCGAAGGGGCCCTTGAAACCCACATGGGCAACTATGCTAAACTGAAAACAGTGTTAACTAGAAAAACTGAAAATAATATGAGAGACCCTCTTTATACAATGAGTGCACTGGGCATATGATACCACCACAGTTTTATAGCTAAATCTTCTTTTTTTTTCCATCACAGCTGGTCAAAGTGACATAACTGCATTGTGCCTGTTTAAAGCATAGCTGTGACATTGCCTCCTTTTGGCCGACACATCTGACTTCATTTTGTGTGGGAGATGGCATAGCCTTATTTGTGTGGTGCCCTCTTTACCGGTGCTGCTCCAGGAGAACCCATTCAGGGCAACCCCATCCCAGCTTCTGTGTTAATTACAAATGGAAGGTCCTAGATTTGACAGAATCTGCCCAAGATGCAAAATTGAAAGACGTCATGGGGTGCACATGAACCGACCGACGTGGTCTAGGGCACAGGGGAAAGTCAGCTGGAGGTCAACAGCTACAGCCAAAGAGCGCCGAGACATGATAATACAGCAGATAAGAGATGTCGAAAATGAGACTCAGGTCCAAAAAGCAGTCTAACAGTCGCAGCAAGGCCAGTGGATCGGCCTTGCGAGCTCATTGCCATGAGCACTCACATGGGGTGAAATGTGGCGAACGACCCCACTGCGGCTAAGCTTTATCGTAAGATCTGCTTACGATGTGTTACCGTCTGGCGCCAACATGGTAAAGTGGCATGTGGCTATCGACCCGACATGCCCACTGTGCAGAGCTAAGCAGACGCTCGAGCAGATATTGTCCGCGTGCAGAGAAGCCAGAAGGCACTTACAATCCTCCCAATATAAGACAGAATAACAGTCTACCTTGCTTTCATAGTACTTTTCCCTCTTGTCTGTTAACGAGGCTCTGATGACCTCTCCGGCATATTCAATGACCATCTCGCCTGCATCAATGTTCCTCTTGCAGAAAAGTCCCCGGCCGTGAATTTTGGACCTGTACACATCCACAGCCTCCTTGGCAAATGTTTTGAGCTTGCGGAATCTCATGGCCATAGGCAGGCTCAGACTGGTTGCTCTCCTAAATAATTAAAAAAAATATAGTTAGAATGAGAATCTTATTATTACTTTCAGCAGAATACAAACACACAATAAATACTTTTAGATTAAAAATATAATAATTACGTATGTATGTAACGTATCCCTGAGTTTATTCGTTTTGTTAGTGTGTCCATTACAAATGAGGAGGACAGCTCTTTCTTTCATCCGTCATGAAACTATAGTATGTGAGTTGTCTAAGCCCTATACGGGCCCGGAAGTATCTAGTATAATTTTTGCGTTTGGGGGATAGAAAAGTATTCAGCACATGGGGACGTATCAGCGGAGAACTAGCTTAGCACGGTAGTGACGTTGGCTGGCGGAGTGCGTAGCAGCGAAAGGGTTAAGGGTGACCATAGTAGAATATCAAGAAGCAAATAGGGACAGCAGAGCTGTACGTCAGTTATTTATAATCCTGAGTATGAAACAGAGAATCTGTTTATCTGATTCACTTTGGGATTATATCAGTGCTGCCAATACCAATAGACACAAGGGTTCTGCCTCTACTGATGCCTCAAGAGGCTGCTCTAAATGTGGACGCTGTCTGGGGCTAAGTCTTAACTACTGAAGGTAAGTTTTTTTTACATGTCACTCCTTCCTTATTTAGAACCCAAACTGATTTATTCACTTTATAGCATGCAACTGTTTTCCCATTTCCTGTTTAGTAGTATTTAGTTAAATTAAAAAAAAAACCCAAAAGTAAAAGTCCCTTTACACACCAGTGGTACATCGGGCACATAAGGCTTGACTCATATTTTTATAGATCACACGACCCGGATGGGGTTGATGTGGCCACCTTTACTTCCAAGGACTCTACCATTTAAGGCTGGGTTGACCTTGTTGCCAAGGCCATGTTTAGTAATATCTAATGAAGTAAATATATTCTGATGCAAACACTGCAAAGAACAATGTAGAGTAGAATCGTTATAGCCAAGGGAACAGCAGACCTTAGCAGGATGAAGAATATTCTATGCAACACATCTTTGGCAACTGAAGTAAGAAAGTGTTCTCGAGAGCTTACTAAAGTCAATTCTTTTTAAATGAAAGCAAATCTTGAACAGATTACCGGAAAATATGGAGGCTGCAGAAATGTGGTTCTGTACATGAATGATGGTGGACAGAGCGAAGGCATAGTGTCATGACAAAAATTAACAAAGAGAACAGGTCAAATAACCTGAGTGTGTCATAAGAAGAGTTATACTGGAGTTTGTCATCATGACGAGAGACAAAATGGGAGAGAACGAGAAATGGGGGTAAACTGGTGCGGATCATGATGACAGACATGTTCAGTGCAGAAGAGAACTAGGGGTAAACTGGAGCAGGTCATAATGACAGACAAGTTGGGAGAAAAAGAGAAATGGGAGTAAACTGGAGCAGGTCATGATGACAAACAAGTTGGGAGAAAAAGAGAAATGGGAGTAAACTGGAGCAGGTCATGATGACAGACAAGTTGGGAGAAAAAGAGAAATGGGAGTAAACTGGAGCAGGTCATGATGACAGACAAGTTGGGAGAAAAAAAGAAATGGGAGTAAACTGGAGCAGGTCATGATGACAAACAAGTTGGGAGAAAAAGAGAAATGGGAGTAAACTGGAGCAGGTCATGATGACAGACAAGTTGGGAGAAAAAGAGAAATGGGAGTAAACTGGAGCAGGTCATGATGACAGACAAGTTGGAAAGGAAGACAAATTAGGGGTAAACTGAAGTAGGTTGTAACAACAGACAAGTTGCAGAGGAGGAAGACAACCTGAGGTAAACCAGAGTTGGTCACAGCGACAGACTTTTGGCGAGGAAGAGAGATAACAGACCAAGTTTGTTGAGCATGATGGAACATCTGCATCAGAAATTATTAGCTACATATGAGATCAAAGGCTGTTGACAGACATCATAATCTTCCTGCAATGCCTTTGTATGGGACATTAGGCTCGCAGTCTAGCCCTCATATCTGCTCTATGCTGTGTAATCCCTTTGAGATCACACAAAACAAATCCAGTCAGGCAACTTTAGCCTCCCTTAATATTTATCTTCTCATGTGTTTCTGTTGAACATCTTTGTTTCCTCAATTAATTTGTTTCCCATTTGTGTCTTTTTAATGATTCTCTGTCAACGTTTTAGGAGATGTCAGATTGCCCTCTTCCGTTTCTTTTAACTGTTGAAAAAAGCAGTTTATGTTGAAAAAAAAAATATACCAATATAATAACAGGAAACAAGTTACTTATTTGCTCTAAACACATGAAATTACTTATCCTGTTTCTCACACTGCTCACCTGGATGATTTCAAGGCCATTTCTTCTTCCTTTTCCCTCTCATCATCACCAGGTTTTGTCCTGTAGACGGACTTCAGGAAGTTGAACATGTCAAAGGGTTTTCGGCTTGCAAAGGACTCAGATCTGGCTGCTCCGCTTGGGTTCAAAGCAACCTCCTGAGGAGATTGATGGCATAGGTAAGAGACAACACACCCTAGACACAGCAGCCAGGATAGAATATTACTGACACCGTCAAAGTTATTTAATCTTATGTGTTTTCCAGTTTACTTCGCTTTTAAGGAGTCTGGTCTTACTTCACCTTTCCAGAAATTTTGACCATAAAACAAATAAAATATATATACAGGTCGACCCAGCCTGATTAGGGTACCAGGATGGATGTCCTGGGTAAGTAAAGATGGCCGGCGTAATGCTGACCACATTACCTATCCAGTGCCGATTGGTCTGTAAAAAGTATGGGGTGCTCTTCACATATGCCCGATGTGCTTAAAGGCGTGAAAAGGGATCTTTATATATTGTATGTGTGGTGGGTATGTGAGCGCGTGTGTGTGTCTACAGAAAAATAAAATATTTTGACCCAAAAAATTAAAGAAACAAACAAAACTGACCTCATCAGCCTGATCCAGGTCATATTTATGGAACCGGAACTTGTAGTTGTGATGACAGTGCAAGGCACCATAAAGCTGTTCGATGAGATACACCACTGCATTGTGGTCCAACCCAAACATGGTGCGGCCTGATATCCCTGCATATGAAAGCTGCTTCATTCTGGATGCAGCCCTCACATCCTGAACTCTCTCCAGGACTTGGTTCCAGGCATCTAAGACAGAAAAACTCATCATCAGACACTGCCCAAGATGTGAAAAGTGATACAACTTCACTTACACAGCTGAAGAGCCAGGCTCAAATCAATAGGCAGTTATGTCTAAAGTAACTTCTTCCTCTTCTTGAAGTCCATGCCATGTGGCGTTGGTAGTCATGTCTATCCACAACCTTCTGTCTCACGTACTTTCAATCAACTTGGACACAGATGATCTTCCATGCCATGTCAAACCGTCAAGCACCTGTTTTCTCGATCTCCCTCTGCCTCTCTTTTCCTCCAACTTTCCTGCAGTCATGATATACTCCAGTTTTCTCCTGTGGACAATCAGCTCTTTTTTTTAAATCTATTCACAGTATTCTCATCATTCGTCCATAAAACCACATCTCCGCAGCTTCCAAAGAAGTTTTCACTAATTAAAGTAACTTACTTTGCATATTTTAAAGCATACAGGGGATTCAGTACACGTTAGAAAAGAATGAACAATAAGCATTATGATAAAAAGACAAGTGTGCCTTGACATAAAACTCAAGGAACTACAGTGACACAAGAAACAAATGACACAGCAGGAGCAAGTATGACATGATAAACAAGTGTGACACAATAAACAAGTGTGATACCAGAAGCAAGTGTGTTATGACTCAAAGAACAAGTATGCTCTGACACAAGGTACAAGTGTGTTCTGATGCAAGGAAACTACTGTGTTCTGATATAAAGAACAAGTGAATTCTGAAAGAAGGAACAAGTGTAGTCTGATATAAGGAACGAGTGTGTTCTAATTTAAGAAACAAGTGTGTTCTGCTTTAAGGAACACGTCATTATGTTATGAAAAAGGAGTCCTACTGATGAAACATACATCAGACAACATATGCATTTCTTCTGGTTAACAAAAACTAAATAAATGCAGACACAAATAGATTCACTGCCAGGCATATTTCATTGTATCATGTCAAAATGTATTACCGTAGTGTTGAATTAAATATTACGAAGCACAAAACTAAATCATTTTAACTGAAATACAAAATCACACTGTCACTGTCAACTTAGACTGTACACCTCTCCACCAGAATTCAAGATCAGCCATGTGATTACCATGGTAACACCAAATTTATCACACAACCCTTTTTCCCCCCATTATGTAAAAAATTAAAAAAAAAAGGTCCCTTTCCCACACTTTTAGGTGTATAGGGCATATAGGGCTAGACCTATATTTTTAATAGACCAATAGGAACTAGTTGGACGATGTGGTTAGCATCACGCCGGCCGCCTTTACTTCCTGGGACTGTACCCAGTACCCACTCAATGCTGGGTCGACCTGGGAGTAATATAAAAAAATGCTTCAAAATTATCAGTCACCGTGCTTACCCTCCACAGTATCCCCCTGACAAGAAAACCCATCATCGCTGGTTATCTCAAACTTGAGCCGGCTCTGACTCCTCTCCCGATCAGATCTAGCTCCTGGTCCATGTGGGTGCTCTCCCCTGCCTAGATCCAGCGGTGTGGCTACAACCTCCTCCTCTAAAGTAGGCTGTGGTAAGGAGTCGACACCTTTCTTGTGGTGTATCAGTGGATGGTGACTGGCCACCAGTGCTGTAAAACAAACGTTAAACAATGATATGTTTGTTCCATTCATACTTAGAGGGCCAGTACCATCTGTACCGGATAAAAAAAAAACTCTATGAGGAGTACTTTGCCATTCCTGGTCTTAGCTGGGTGGGGGGGTGGGGGGGGTGTGTGTGTGTGTGTGTGTGTGTGTGTGTGTGTGTGTGGTCTCGGCGTGGTGTCTGCCTCGAGTGCTTGAGGTTCAGGGTTCAATCCCCGGTTAGAGCTGGGATTTTTTTACGTGGACCTGGACTTCTAGTAATTCCACATGTTCTCTGGGTAGTGAGATCAGACGCCCGTGTGCATTGTTGCGCACGTAAAAAAAAATCCCTTGGCAGTTGGAAATCGAAAAGAGTAGCCTAACGTCGCTGCACGGGCAAAAGTTACAAAATCTACCCAAAGTATTTCAGGATCCTTGCCGATGCTACAGAGCCTGTGCACTGTGCTGAGCTTCTTCGGGCTTAGATTTAAGTTAAAAGAAGAACGGAGCACTTATAGGTTACTATACGTGTGCCGTGATGTTGATCCGTCGTTCAAGTAGTTCAAACCTTTGTTCAAACCTCAAAACTCCCTGTCTTAGCTTTCAATCTACATGCATTTTAGATGCGACACACAATGCAGATTCTAAATACTGCAGTCCCTTCTCCGGCTCACCACAATTAGCTCTCTGATAAGCGATTTCGTATTGCTGGTTTTGGCCTACAGGTCTATATACATTGTAGAAATGACATGCAATGCAGATAGTAAATGCTGCAGTCTTACTTTTTCAGTCTGCATGCACTGTGCTGGCTGAGACTCATGGGCTACCATACCAGAGTGGCTGAGAAGTCAAGTTTGCTATTAAATTTTGGCTGTTGTTGATAGTTTTGGATGTCTCGCGGATAATGCTATTAATATCCCAATCATACCAGGCAACAACAAACAACGAAAAATTCCCAACTCTGAAAATAGGAGTTGTGATAGTGTAGTGAACAGGTGCTTGCCTGCCTGCCAGCCTGTCGGTTTTGGGTTCAAATCCACTATAAGGCAGAGGTGTTCAACATTGATCCTGACTTCCATGTAGACCAAGCCTAAAATAGGTACCTGCTTAATGTCCTGGGAAGTAAAGGTGGTCAGCATGATGCTGACTAAATCCTCCCACCGAATGCCAAACGGTTGGTTAAAACATGTGAGTCCAGCATTGTAGGCCTGACGTAGTCATCAATGGTGGAAAGGTTCCTTCACATTTCCTTATTTTTTTTTTTAAAGTGTGGGTTCCGGGGTCCCATTGTATGGAAAACAAGAATAGACCCACTGCCTCCCCAAAAGCATGTCGTAAGAGTCGACTAATTGCAGAGCTTCCTTTAAAGTCGGAGTGCATCTGCCGGAGAGGCAAGGAACCAACAGTCTGTATTCAAGAGAATGAGATGTGTAAAACTGATGCACACGCAACACTCAGGTTCTGGAGCAGGACTGCAGTTTAGTAGTGGACGAGCAACCAGAACCTTCCACCAGAGTTTACAGCTGGTGAACGCGAAAAAAAAAGCAGAAGTGTATATCAGCAATTCTCAACCATTTTGTGGGTCGAACCACTCTTTTACATGGGTGGTCAAAGACCATCAGGAAAACACATATTCACTGAAGTTATGAATGAAGTAGCAACGAAAATAAGTGTATGGGTGGGGGGTCGCCACAACATGAGGAACTGTGCTAAAGGGTCGCCGCATTAGAAAGGTTGAGAACCACTTGTGTATTTGAATATGAACAAATCATAGCAAGACTAACCTGCTCTGTGTCTCCTGAATTAGGGTGTATAGACACTGAATAAATTATAATAGAACTGACCCATCTGTGCCTTTTAACTTCTTCTTCTTCATGTTCACCGGTTTCACTGGTTGTTTGTCTATTTCTGAATGTTAGTCTTGTTCTACAATTTAGGTTTTGTATGCTCATCTGTTTAATAGATCTGGCTTACTTGTTTGCAGACTACTGGTTCCTTGCCTCTCTGGTAGATTCCTGACAACTTTAATAGAAAATCCATCATAAGTAGCCTTTCATAACATACTTGTGGGGTTAAAAAAAAAAAGGGGGGGGGGGTGGGGGTGTGCGCCGCCTCGGTGGCTCTACTCTTTTCCCCTCCAAAATGGAGGGCCGGAACATACACATGAGTGAGTGAATCATAATTTAGCAAATTATTTTATGCTGGACAAGACATAATAGGACTAACCTGTTTTATGTCTCCGAGGTCTGACCCCAGATTTTTTATTTTCAGACAGCCGTCGAACTTCCTTGTCACCTGTTTGCAGCTTGTCCTTGCTCACAACAGACTTGTGGAGAAGCTGTTTGCGGACAAGAGCCCTGCTGCTAGGAGACAATGCTACTGGTATCTGGGGTTTCCTTACCGGGGACACCAAGGGGAAACTGGCTCTCTTGTGTGGTGACTGCTGAAGTTGCTGCTGGGTAATGTGATGGTAAGGATGTTGTTGCAGATGGTGAAGTTGTGATCCCTGTTGGGCAGACTCGCATGTGGGACCACTACTTGAAGCTGATGGATGGGTATGATCTCCACTAGTTGAAAAGTCTGCTGCCGGGTGATCATCACGAGTGGAGTCTGTGAAAGAACTAGACGACATGGCTGAGTGTGATGATAACATCGCATCTCTATCATACCCATGTTCAAGCGTCTGTCCCAAAGACATATGTCCACTGGCGGGATTAGTAGAGCTGGTCGGGCAGCTCATGGAATCTGAAATATATGCATGCCTTTCCACAATCTGCTGCATTGTTCCGGAGAAGACTCCGTCACTTTTCAACAATTTCTCAAAAACCGGTTTCTTGGCCTGAGGACCTTCGTTGACTGCTGCCATCTGTGCCAGTTTCCTCTTTGACTGCTGTGAGTAGACACCAGGTTTGAGAGCCCGTCGGAACTGGGCAGATGAAAGAGATCTGCTAGGTCCAGTAGACTGTGACGACCTGCTGGTTGCCGACAGGCTCTGGCTAATAGGTATGGAAACAAAGCCACTGTTGGAAGATGTCCACAGATTAGGAGACTGTTGTGGCTGCGGAGATGAATGCACCTGTGATGAGCTGGGCAGCAGCTTTGTCCATTCTGCATCAGTATCTGTTTGCGCAGCCACAGCACTGCTGGCCTGTGCAAGCGACATCAGCGATGCTGCAGCTGAAGATGTTGACAACACTGGTGCTCCTCCTAAGCCAGGAGCTGCAGCCCCAGAGAATGACTTACTTGGCAAAATATCTTCATTTATAAACACACGTAGCACCTTCTTGGGCCCCTCAGGTGTATTTGTTATTGCAGTTGTGACTTCAACACCAGGGATTTGTTCTTTGCCTTGATTCTTTAGTGCACTCTGGACCAGCTCCACGATTCTCTTAGATGCGTCTTGATTAAAGTTCTGACTACTGTTCACTACAGATTGTAGGGATGCTGAATTCAGATCAAAGCTGCCCATGTAGCTGACCTGAGCTGGGGCACCATCTACTTTAGTCAGTTTGGGCACTGATAGTTTTGTTGCCTGTGGAAGACTAAGTGATGGTGCCAAAGTGCTAACTGTTGGGTAGGATTTTAGAGTTGGTGATGCAAAAACAGTGGAAGCTGGAGAAAAGGTTGCATGGGTGGTGCTGTATAACTGACTGGCGGTTGATGGCTGTGCCATCAGTTGTGTGGGTAATGTCTCTTGACCAAACCCACTTGTTACTCCAGCAGCCTTTTGTTTCAAAGAGGAATACTGTTGCATACTTGCTTTCAGCACTGTCTGATTTAAACCTGAAGACAGCATATGAGCATGTGGATCAATGATGACTGATGAGGGCTTCGCACTACTGGTAATATGTTGCTGCTGTGAATTTTGTGATAGAGGAGATTGAAGCTGCTGCTGCTGCCTGTGACTCATGTCCATCTGCTCACTGTGTTGAGGCACCATCGGCTGCGTGCTGACCTGGGGTAGGAACATACCTGGCCCTTGGTGAGCCAGGAAAGGTTGGCTCATCATCAGAGACTGGTTGCCCAGGGTTGATGCCTGCATCAGTTGGGCTATTCCCATGTTAGATGATAGTACAGTTGGAGAGTTCACATGGGGCTGCAGATGCTGAAGTGGTGAGATGATGCTTGGTGCTAATGGGTTACCTGGGTTTAGGGAATAGAAAGGCAGGCTGCTCTGTCCAGTATTCTGAAGAATTGGAGCTTGTCCTGGAAGAATAGCTGTGGGGTTTCCAGGAGGCAACATCATCCCCGCAGAAGCATGTCTGAAAATAATGCCAGGCTGAGTAGGATTCTGAAGAGCTATCCCTGTCTGGTTCTGAGTTTGGATGATAATGCCTGTCTGCCCTGAGTTCTGCAGCATGAATCCAGACCGAGACATATCGTGAGAGGGCAGGAACTCTGGCCTTGCATTTGCCTGCTGCTGAAGAATGAATCGGCCAGGGGAGACCTCTGAAATCATGACCGTGGGCTGGTTCTGCTGAGGCGATGTCCGGGGATGGAGGCTGATAAATGGGTGAATATTCTGCCTGGTTGGGCTTACAGTTAAAGGTTGCTGGTGGGAGAGGTGTTGTAGAGCTCCACCCTGCTGCATCACTGAGGGTGTTGACAGAATCCTTCCCCCGGAGGTAATGGAGACAGTGCTGGGGGTGTTAGTTCTCATAGCTGGGGTGGTGGAATACTGCTGTGAATGAGATGAAGACAGTGTTGCCTTTGACTGAGAATGACTCACCACTGCCTGTGAGATGTTAAATGCTAGGTTTGGCTCTGGGGGCTGCAGCCCAATTGCTTTCACAATAACAACATCATCATCATCATCAATCTGGCTATTCAAATCAACAGGCTGGGTGTTGGAAGACAGCTGACTTGAAGCTGTGGCAGCTAAAGGAGCACTGGCAACCTGTGAGGTACTTTCACTGTTGTTGGGAATGCAAGGTGGAAAATCATCCATATCATTTGAGGTCTCCGAGCTGAAGTCATCACTCTGAATATCATATGCTGCAGACAGGGAGTCAGGACTGACAGATCTAGACACAACTGAAGTATCATCTTTACTTCTGGTATCCTCTGCACTCTCATGGGCATCAGCACTTAAATGACTGGCTTCATCCTTCTGGGCTGACTCACAGGACTCTGCCTGCCTATCAGTAAGAGCACTGCATGTGTTTTCCCAGCTGCCAGCTTTCTCTGCTGTAGATTCCCCGGCCTGCAAAACACTAGTGTCCTTGGTTGTGACTGTCACGTCCAAAGTATTAGGACTGACAGTCAAGGCTGTCTTTTTGATCAGCTCACCGATGGTCTGGGCAGCAGCAACATTTGGAGATCGGATAATTATTCTCAGCTTCTGCCCTGCTGGCTTCACTTTATCCATAGCTGATTTTGAACAAGATTCTGGAGGAAGACTGTCAACTGTCTTAGGACTGTCGACTCTCTTGCCCAGTTCTTCTAGGCTGGCAGAGGTAGTTGGTACTTCCGTTTTAGTTTCATTTTCCCTAGTGTCCATTTTTGCAGGCTTTTTTTTAGTGCCAAATGTGTGATTAATTTCACTACCTGGATCACAGTTTTCTACCATGCCTTCTGTAGGTGAGGGTTCTAAATTCAAAACTTTGTCATAACTTTCTTTATGATTAATACACGAGTCAGTCTCCTTAATTAACGCTTCAGTTGCCCCATGTTTCAGTAACTCACAATTTGTATCCAACCGATGATCTCGTTCATAATCTTTGGTCATATTGGAGTCATTCTCTACATCCACACTGTTTAAATTCATGTGGCTCATTTCATCTTTACCTTTAGTATCTCTCTCAGCCATAACTTCATCAGGACAAAATTTTGCTTCTGGCCCACTTCCAGGCAGGATTGCATTGTCCACGTCATTACTGCCAACTGAATCATTTCTTTGACCATCTTGTTGAGAGCACTTTCTGTCTTCTTCTAACTCTGACAGTGGTCTTTCTAGCTTTTCACACACAAACTGCTCACTTTTACCATCCTCTGTTCTTTCAACTCTAGCTTCCTGCTTGGTGCCAGATTCAGACTTAGTTCGTAGTCGCAACCGCCCGGGACCACATTTCTCCACAGCATCCTTTCCTGGTAAAGTCCTGAGTCGACCTTGTCCACGCTTCAAAGAGGTATCAGAGGATGTGTTTTCTGTTTGCGCTTCTTTTTGTGATTTCATTTCTACATTCCCAACAGTTTCCTTGTCTTTCTTCAACTGTATCAAATACTTGCTGAGTTTTGCAGTCTTGCTGGCTGGTCTGTTGCTCCGTCTTATAGAAATTAGAGGATCTTCAGTAACTTGTGGGTTTTCCACCATATCTTCATTCTTACTGTCGTTTCCCCTTCTCTCTCTACTTCTTGTGATTCTCACATTCCCTTGGGGTGAATCAATATTTTCAGGTGGATCACCTCCAAGAGGGCACTGGCCAATATCCACAATCTGTGATAAAGAACGGAATCCTCCAGTGGTTTTATTATTGGTCTGCTTCTTTATCGTTTTGGCAGTGCTCTCCTGACTCAAGTCTGTCTCTGATTTCATCACTGCATCAGGACACTTTGAATCTGCCTTGTCTTTACTGTCACCAGGTGAGAAGCTAAGTCTGGGACTGCTGCGTAGTTTTGACAGACCAGAAGCTGGGCTAATCTGTCCTAACTTCTTCGGTTTTGCATCTGATTTTGGCAAGCCACATTCAGAATGAGGGCTAAACTGGCCTGCATTTCTATTAGTGGGTTCTTCTGCTGCGCAAGTGATTAATGCACCAGATTTCTGAGCACTGGATACAACATCTGTTGGGTGAACTTTTGAATCTGTTAACTTTGTAAGACCTGCTTCCTCTGATTTGTCTAACGTGCTCTGTGCTGCTGTATGTGAACCCCTCCTCAAAGGCGGAGACTTGAGTTCTGGAGACTTCAGCTCCGAAGACATCCTGTGGCGTGTTCTACGTGCTACACTTTCTTCTTCATCGCTGTCTTCTTCTTCCTCTTCTTCTCTTTCAACCACAGCCTCCTCGTGTTCTTTAACTGTTCCTTCTGGGCATTCAGAAGCTTCAACCCACCAAATTCTCTTTTGCCGAGGACGCTTGGGCTTCAAAGACTCCAGTTTAACATCATCTATAATCACAGGATCGTAGGTTATGGCTATACTTTTTACAGTACTAGAACCTGGCTTTGGAAGGCCCCCAGCCATGATGCTGGGTCTCATGTTCCCACCGGCACCAGCATGAGCCGGGCTTCTCTTTTCTCTTTTTGGTGTCATTGCTGTGGGGGAAACTCTTGGCTGGAGTCTCAAAGGTTTGTTCAGGGCAGTTCCATCTATGTCTGAATTTGGAGACAGTTCTAGTGACCTTCGGCTGATCAAACCTACCGCCTCCAGCATGGTTTCTTTTGGCGAGGGCTTATCTTCTATCCGACTGGTGCAGCTTTTAGGTGACAGTAAAGAAGAGCAGGATGACCCATCTGGAGACATGGATAATTTAGATTCCTTGCTTCTGGTTTTAGCTAGGTGGGCCGGTGCAGCATTTCTCTGGGTCATTGTGCTTCTTCTAAGAGATGATCTTCTGGAGTCCTGACTTTGTACACTGCTACAATCATCGGACAAATCCCGACTTGATGGTGAGAATTTCTCATCCTTATACTCATCTGTAATGATGATGGTTAAAGGTTCATTCAACGGAGATGGGGACGAGGAAGACAAAGATTTCAGCTTCTCAACATCGGAACTCACTCCCGGCTTCGAGTGCTCACCTCCTTCGCTAGACCTCCTATCTGAACACAAATCTTTCATGCTTGGCTTGTCATCTTCATCACTAGTGCTCACTTCAAAGTCACAGTCTCTGACATGGAAATCATAACTCTCCCGAGTTCTATACACTCTCTTACATGTTGGGCATTTAAACGGGCCCTCCTTCCCCGGGCTGCTCCTGGCTAAACTTTCAGCTTTAATCTTCTCCACAAGCCTCTCATGAAGACTGTCATCACTGCCAGATTCTAGCCCCTCTCTCCTTGACGTAACAGACCCAACAGAATGCTTATCCCTGATAGATATCGCAGGGGTTTCGCGGGTTGTATCCCTTTGGGCTAAGTTTATCTCTTCCTCCTCAGAACTGAACTCAATTACTTCTTCGCAGGACTTTGCAGCGCTAAAAACAGCAGAACCTGCAGTCTTCTGTGTAGTTATGTTACTGGAATTCAGACTGTCAGAAGTTCTTGATTGGTGTTCAATACTAACATGCACAATATCAACATTATCTTCTGATTCAAGATCATCAACGCTTCTACAAACTTGTTTGTTCTCATATTCTGAATAATCTTCTTGCTTCTTATTTGGCAACTTTAATCTCATCCTTCCAGAGTCGTCCTCACTTCCTCCCTGTCTAGTTTCAATGCTGAGATTATCTGCAACACAATCATCTGATTTCGACAACAGGAAGTCCATTGAAATGGATTTCTCAATTTTCTTATTTGGATCTGCTTTTTGATCAAGTATCAAACCTGTCTCCAAAACTTTAGCAGTCTCTACACGGTCTATAGAATCATGTGTGTCTTGCTTCACCACAGACACTGCAGCAGTGTCATCTTCACTGTGGTATTTCAAGGCTGAGGATATAGATATTTCTTTGCAAAAATCATCAAGGCTTTCAATATTTACATGTGTCTTATAATGAGGGTCATCTGATGATGCAGCACAATTTGCTACAGCAAAAATGTCTCCCATTTTTTCTCTGGAAATATCAAATTTCGGTATCACACTTTTGTCTCTTAAGCTGACACTATGTTTTTCTTTAAGCTCATCTTCACTCCTGTTAGTCCTCATTTCTTTTGCCTCTTCACCAGTTACTTCTGACTGCTGCAAGAAACTTGAACAGCTAATCTTGTCTTGTTCATCTACAACCACTTTATGGTCCATTTCCAACAAGGAACACTCTTCAACATGTTTATCAACATTGCTTTCACAAGTGTTTAGCTGTTCATGTCTTCCATAGCTGAGACAATCTCTTGCATCAGAATTCTTACTATCTGTTGCATCTTTCACCTTGCTCTCAGCAGCATCGTGACATCCTTTCATCAGTAAGGTATCAGAGGTGCCCAAGCAGGTGGTAACCTTATTTGAGGACTTCCTATTTCTCAGCAGCAAAGACTCTGGTTTGCCCTCTCTTTGACCACAGCTGGCGGAAATTTTACTTGTGCAATTTACAACAGCATCCTCTTTCCGCAGTGCAACAAAGCAAGGTTTCAGTTTGATCTGTGTTTTATTGCTCAAGTGTTCAGCATTACCTATTGGTGCTTTTGCACCTGCAAATTTCAAATCCATGAGATCATTACTGTCAGATTCTGCAGTCCCAACAGACTTTTCACAACTGGTTAACTGAACAGTGGTGCCTTCTGTGTTCCACTTACCTGTCTTCTGAGACATGCTGTTGGTCTTTTTCAGCTCTTTATGCTTCAGCAAGACACAATTGGTGCTGTTCTCTAGCATTTCTACAGATTCCTGAAAGTTGACAGCTTGGTTTCTGTCAGATTCTGTCTTCAGAGACCGACTTTGTCTATCTTCACAACCAACACCCGACTGTGATGGATCAAAGCTTGGTTCTACATCATTTCTGCCTGGCCCTTCCACCTCATTGCAGTCATCATCTTCATTAGTTTCGCTATAACTGAGGTCATCCAGCATGAGGTAGTCGCTCTCTTCATCTGTTGTTGTATCCTGTGTGCTGACAACCGCCTTCATCCCAGCTTTCACTCTGTTCTGGCTACCAAATTTGACCGAGCCCCTACTATTTTTTGTCAAAAACGTTTTTTCGACGTTTGGCACAGAAACATTCACTGATGAATTTAACCGCTCACCTGCTTTGGAATTAACATTTCCGGATATATTTACAAAATCTGTTGAGTTGTTGTTAACAAAAGTCTTGTTTTTTTCATTATTCAGAACGCAAATCTCACTGTCAACTGAATTCTGTTGTACTATTTCTTCACGCCTCCCACATAGTGTCTTCAAGACATTCATTTGTGCTGTGATGTTGGCTACTTTCACAGGACTTAACTTCTCAGAGTCTGACAAATCAATGATCTTCACATCATCTTCTGATATATCTGTAAACGAATGGTTAGCCATGGAATATGCTTCAGCTGGTGAACCATCCAGCATGTGAGCAGCAGAACCTACTGACATACCTCTCTCCCTGTGACTTTCCCAAGAAGACTTGATCTCACTAGCTGACAAGCATGAAGCAGCCTCAGTCTCATTATCAAATGTTTTAGATTCTATTTCTTTACCCGATGGAAGCAGTGATGACTCTGCATTTCTTTCAATTACTTTATCACGCTGATCCACAATTATCACCTGTGTATTATTAACTCCAGTCAAATCATCAGAATGAGATTTCGTTGAATCACGACCATCCTCTGTTGTGAAAGATGCTTCTAATTCTATGGCTGCCTCTAGGCTAAGAACAGAAGTAGAGACTACAGCGGTGCCATCTTTCTTCAGTTTCTTGTTATCTAAATCAACATACACACTGTCTTCTTTTTTCTTACTCTCAGCATCTTTATGTGGTTTTCTCAAGTCATCGTCATCACCGTTGTCCTGGCTGTTTCCCCTGCTGCTAAAGCTGCCGGTAGATGTAACGCTGGAATGGCCGTAAGGTGTCTGATCAGTAAGGGCGTTGTTTTCTGCATCCCCTTGAACAGCATCGCCTTTGAGTGCATCTTCTGAAGTACTCTGAGCAGGCTCACCTCCCTTCAGTGTATCTCCATTGTTCACAGAAGCACTGTTAGCGCTGGTTGGCGAATCATGATCCCCATGAACCTCTGCATCATTTTCTGCATCCCCTTGCCTCGTATCTGCATCGTCACTCTTCTCATTCTTAGCTGTTTCTTCTCCCTTTTGTCCCTCACTTTCACAGACTTCCCCATTACAGAGCTCTCCATCATCTTTCACAGTTGATTCCTGTAGAACAGCAGATGCCAGGTTCATGATCTCCTCTTCGCTAAGATCCTCAATATCTGTCAGAACCACAACTTTCAAATCCTCTCCTTCTAGCACATCTGAAGGCACGCTTTCAAGAATGGACTTCAAATCTTCTGTTGACAAGATTTCTGGGCTCAACTCTGCGTTTTCAATATCCATCTTAGGGTCACAAAACCTTTCTTCTTCCGAACCCCTTTCATTTTCCTTTACTGGAGAAGATGGTCGAGGCTGACGAATGTCTGTGTTGCTGACTTCCAGATTTTCAGAATTAAGGTTTGGATCAAGATTTGATTTCCTGTTGGCATCCTCTGTAATAATTTTTTCTTCATCTTCATTTTCAGAAATTTCCTCTATAGGAGTTACACACCCAGATTTGACAGCCTTAAAGGTGCAAACATCTCCAGTTTCTTTTCTAGAATTATCCTGCGGTACCAATACTGACCCTGCTGAAGACACAAAAGATAGTGAAGAAATCTCCTTGTCCTGCACATTGTGACCTGCATGAACTGTGAGGTCAGGTGGCAATGATGATGACCTCAATTCTTGATGAATTAACACCTGTGGTTTGATAACTGTGAACGGTGACACAGACCTGGCACGGATTGGGTGCGCTGATGAAGATGCAGGAAAGATGCTTCTTGGTGCCGATGACAAGGGGGAGAATGAATGTGAGTGCCTCTCTTCACTGCTGGAATGTGACCGCGGTCTTGGACTGAAGCTCACAGGTGAAGGAGGCTGTGGTTCACTGTGTTGTGTTTGTCTCAACAGCTGACTGTACTGCTGCAAGCAGCTGACCACAGGAAATGTGGGTGACTTTATCTGTTTCGACCTGCCGGCAGCACTGTTTAATCTGTCTGCAATTTTCACCAAACCTAACTCCTCATCCATCACATTAAGGGTTTTGACACTGGAAGTCCCATTGACTGGGTTCCTGCTCGTGTCAAGTGTTGCTGAAGGAACAATGTATTTGGATGGGTCTTTGATACTCAACAGGGCTAAAGTACTGGGAGATAACCCAGTCAGATCTATAGGCTGTGGTTCTGCTGCTTTGGGTTTCTGTTTTGGCACTCTCGTTGGCCAAGACTTTGTAACCCCATGAGGATCATCTTCATCAACAATGAAGCAATGTTCTGGATTATCTGAATGTAAAACTGGATTCCGGGTCGACCGCAAGGAAGTTGACTGCGTTTCTGAAAAAACAACAGTACTCTTGGACACCTGAGTGATGCCAGCAGCATTCACAGACCGGGAGCTAAAGGACACGGTCGTCACAGTCACCGTGACTGAGTCAGACCCCAGGCACACCACATCATCTCCAGGATCTCCAGCCAGGCCACAGCTCCTGCTGGCCGTCTTCATAAAGTTTGGAATGCCCAGTTGCTCCAAATGTAGCTGGTCCAAAGGAATATAGTCTGCATGATTCTCATCATGGACAACTCGTAGATCTTGAATCTGAATACTCGGTGAGTCTAAGTCTGGTTCCACTTTCACAATGCGGCAGGTGTAGACACAGCGTCTTCTTGCATCCTGTGTGCTCCAGTACATTCGTGTACACCTGTAAAAATAAATAGGGCTTGTGTGAAATGTGCAAAGGAATTCTTTTTAGCTGAATTTTCAATCTAGGATGAGATCAGTAGCTAAAAAGATTAAAAGAATGGATGAATACTACAGTAGACATTCATGGTATCTCTAAGGTTGTCATCATACTGGGGAGGTACTGAAGGGCCGTAGACACAGAGGTAAGGGCACTGATAGATCAGCATTCACACCAAGAAGACATCATCATCTTCTACACAGATGGATTCGTGAAGCACGGATCTAGGTCAGCATGGGCATTCATAGCACAAAGGATGGGGAAAACATAAAAGAGGACAGCGGCACTTACCAGGCAACGACGTCAAACATGAACATGGAGATGGCTGCTGCTTCTAGAGCACTAGCACGGTCAGCACAGGAAACAGCCACATATGCACTAATTGTATCAGACTCCATGAACATGCTTCAGAAGATAACAACAGGTGGTACGAGCTTTGAATGGGTAGAAAGCATTCGAAAATCACACTCAACCTCCTTCGCCTGGATGGTGACGTAAAGGGTAATAGGTGAGCGGACCAACTGGAAAGCAATGCACTAACAAAAGTGGGAAGCATAGACAGAGCAAACATCACCAATGCTGTTTGTACTGGGCTAGTGGATAAGGACAAATCTCATGACACTAACACGACTGCGTGACACAGGAGTAAAGTATGGTGAAGGACGTCTATGCCCCCTTTGAGGCTGAGATAGGGGACATTATAACCAACAGTTAGTAAAAGTACTTGGAGTGGCTGCTTCATTGCAGGACTGAGCAAGCATGGGAATGACCAATGTGCAGTGACGTCAATTGTGATAACATAATATGCAGCTGATGTCTGTGACGAAGGGGTGAGAATTAAGAATCAACATCACAGCACTCAGTCCTTATCTTCAGCAGCAAGCCCAGAGTTCCAGTTCCGTTAGTACCAGTCTCACCTTTTCCTTGAGTGCTGAGCATCGGCAAAATTGTGACGTGGTTATGAATACAAGTTTTAGAATTCCCAACATCTTAGGATTTTTTTGTTAAAGCTATCCAGAAGACTATCACTAAATGTCAATTTATTTCACTGCATCCCTCTTGGCAGGTGGCCAGCTTCTCTGAGGAGAGACTGAGCTTTATGGGACATAAACCAAGTGAAAGAAATCAATCCTCTCACCATTTCTTTTCCTAAGTGTGCATTTGCATTCAAAAGGAAAGCTGGTACATTGTGTGAAGATTTACAGCGAGGCTATGCTAGTTAAGTAGCAGTGGTCTCCTCCCCCCCCCTTCCCCAGCAGAGCCTCAAAACTAAGGCAGGGGCATCTCACTATTATATCACTGAAAGACCAGCTCTGCTCCTGGCCTGACGAGCTTTTCTGTGTGCATTTTCACATGTTTTGCGACAGCATACTAAACAAATCTGACAATGCTGTGTTTTGTACCCCGGCTTGGTGTATTGGTCCCTTCTACTGATTGTGCTGTTTGCTGATAAAGGCTTCAGTCACAATGTTCAACTGTTTTTGGGACATTCCCCCCAACTGACCACCCTAGTCAAGCCTTGTGTTCTTCCTACTCTCCATGTGGGTTTTGGAGCCCATCGGGCAGCTGCTGTGTACTTTTGGCAAAGCTAAGATTTTATTACTGCAAACAACAATTATGTTTTAAATGTTAGCTAAGTAACCTTTACATGATACTACAAACCAACCTCTGCATTTATCGGCTGTTTGTGGTTTTACTAGGTAAGTTCACATTTAGCAGTTTGCCACTGCCTTCAGAAGGACTGATGCTCATAACACTGTCACAGTCAATGCAAGGTGGTCTGCTGCCTGTAGCTGAATCAAACTTGGGGATGTGGGAATCAATATCCCTGTGTCACAGATGAACACTTTTGACAGGGGTTCTCAACCTTCATAATGCCGAGACCCTTTAATATAGTTCCTCATGTTGTGGCGACCCCCAAACTATACAATTATTTGTGTTGCTGCTTCATAACTTCAGTGAATATGTGTTTTCTGATGGTCTTAGGTGACCCCTGTGAAAGGGTCATTCAACCTACAAAAGGGTCCCACCCACAGATTGAGACCTGCTCACTTATGACAAAATGTAATTTCACAACAAATTTTTAATTTTTTAAATAAATATTTTTTTTTAAAAACCTGAAAGGCAGCTAAAATTCTAACCTGAAGTCCACAGGAAACAAACATTCTTCTGTGTCCGAGAGTGACGACTGCAGAACACCTAAACTCTCCACTGTGCAAGAACCTGGATATAATTTGTTTAAAGAGTTAGTATAATTCATTATATTTATTCTACTTTTTGTTTGTTTGTTGTTGAGTGTGGCAGTTCAATTCATTCACTCATTCATTGAGCTCTTGTGCCATTATATGTCAAACAGGGCTTGCAGTCTATTTCACTATCTGTTCTATCCTGTGAAATCAGTTTGATTTTATGGCAGGAATCCACTACAGCTTCTCTCATCAATGTGTTCCTTTTACGGTTTCTCTTGGATGTCATTTCCACAATCCCTTCAATTCACAATTCAGTGTGGCTGGAGATGGCAAAATGTGCAGCAGAATTAACCTCCCTCACTGATCAATAAGGTACTTGATAATAATGACGGGGGAAACGTAACTTTAGGACTGAAATACAGACATAGACATACCAATTATGATTCTGTTTACCGTTTTAAAAAAAAAAGAAGAAAAACATAAAATATTTACCAATGATAACATTGAGTGTTGCTGGATTCACAGCCTTGCCCCAGGAAGATTTGGAACGGATTTTATCAAAGTTCACACAAACTCTGCTTGAGATATCAAAATGGCCGTCCCTGATCACCTGAAGACAAATCAAATGCGATGTTAATGAGCTGTTACAGCCAATTACTACTTCATATATAAAATATGATTATATGACCCCTCAGCTTCACAAAATCACACACACACACAAACGACAAGTGAATGTTAAGGCTGGAGAGCCTTTATCAGAACATACATTAAATCTACAATATCGCAAGTACAAACAAAGAATTCACACTATCACTTAATTGACCCTGGCGGAGCCGGACTTTTTTTCTCTCCAAAAATGACCCTGGCTTCCAGGTCGACCCAACCTTGGGTGGGTACTGGGTGCAGTCCCAGGAAGTAAAGGCGGCTGGCGTGATGCTGACCACATCACCCATCTTGTGCCGATTGGTCTATAAAATATAGGTTTAGCCCTACATGCATAAAGGCGTGGAATAGAGTCCTTTATTTTACTTAACTGACATATCTCAAATAGAAATCACATCTCTGGCCAGTAGAATGTCTGACCCCCCTCCCCACAAGAAAACATACCTTCCTGCTCACACAGTCGCCATGCAGCTTGCAGAAGACAGTCTTGTCATCCTGGAAGGAGCACCGGTCAGCCCGGGCACACATGAAGTGGTAGTTGGCTCGACAGTTTGCTTCGCAGCAGCCTACAGTGGCTCCAGGTTGCTGGCAGAGATTACATCGCTGCAACGACATGTCAAACATGATGATGAAACAATCATCTGGAGGAAGACCAGTTTAAAGAAACAAAAGAAGCACAATTTTATGAGTAAAACTGTGCTGAGCTGATCAGAGTTGAGTCAAGAATTTACATCACAGAACTCGGGACATTCTCATGCGTGCTCCGTACTTATCTTCAGCAGCCAGTGCAGTTCCAATACTGATGGTACTGATCACAACCTGGTTATATGTCTGTTTTGCCTTTCCTCTGAGTGTAGTGAGCTGGCCAGACCCTCTGGTTTCACCCAGGTGCCTCATTCTCTCCAGGCCATAATAATCTTGTTTCTCTACTGATTCCGTTGCTTGTTCCCACAGGGCCTTGACCACATGTATCAATTCACCACCCAGTGGTGCAGATCCAGCCATTCTGTCTGCTTGCTCATTACCCACTACGCCCACATGGCCTTTTCAATGTGTTCGTATTTGTAAAGTTCGGTATTCGTAGAATAGATTACACACAAAATTTATGTCATTTGTAAACAATTTAGCTTTGAAAAGTTAATACTAAAGGCACCAACCCATGCACTTTTTTAAGATAAAAAAAAGTTTCAAAGTCAGTTTTCTCACATCTCTATATTTCTGTTCGTTGTGTGTGTGAAAACCTAAAATCCTAGCTACTATAAAGACTAGAAACATGAAATTTAGTATGGATACTCCTTAAACAATATTATAGGGACTAGTATTTTCAAAAGTAGATTTTAGAAAGTTTTTGTTTTTTAAAATTTGATAATTTTCTTATGATGCAAGATTTTTTTACTTTTTCAATGAGCCTACATTTTAAAATTCTACGAAAAATATTTAAAAACAAGTTTAAAGTAAATAAACTACACCTGTACCTCTAAATATGATAAAAGGTAATGAATCTATCATCTATTTTTTAATATGTATGTTTGTTTTTCAAATTTTAGAATTCTAAGTTCATGTTTTTTTTTTTTCACAAAAAGGCGGCTATTGCCATGACAACCATGAAGTTTTCACACATAAAGATTGCAAATGTAATAACATGTATCCCTTCAAATGACCATTATAAAATAATTGCTCTGACTGTAAATAATAATAAAAATTTTTTGGGGGTGTAGTGACTCCTTAAGAACTAACATCAGAGCACTTGACACATTCTCATGTGTGCTCCACCCCCATCTTCAGCAGCCAGCAACAACAAAAAAGTTCAATATCAATGATACCAGTATATGACCGTCTTGCCTTTCCTTTGAGAGTAGTGTGTAAGCTAGACCTTTTTGTCCCTCTCTTCTACAGTGTTCTCCCCAGGCTGTACAATTCACAATTCCATATTGTTCCCTTGTTCGCAAAGAGCCTTAGTCTAAGCCGAGGTTTAAACTTTACTGCAACTGGGTTTCCCCATACTTGTTTCGTTCCTGTGCCAGTGAAAATCAAAATGAAATGTCATTCACTGTCCCATTTGAAAAACCGGTGAACAAACAAACAGTCCTGGCACAATCCAGAAACATGCACATGCAGTAAATGCATATGGCAGTGGCTAGAGGGGCCAAGGTCAACAGTTGCTACCAGAAATTTGGTTTGTCGTTGACATAAGTAGCTGGGCGCGATAAGTTGGCTATGCACACGTAGAATTATTGCATAAGGTATTTCACCAACTCACACGTAAACCAAAGAGCCTTGACTACATCTAGTTTTTCAAGCATCAACTCATCACCCAGAGATGCAGCACCAGCCAATCTGTTTCACTTTATCACTTAAACTGTAACAGGTAAATCATTAGCATCAAGTATTGTCTAGTCTTCACATTGAAGGTTCAGGGTTTTCCTAACAACATCTGTAATGTATCTTTATAGTCATTCATATAAGTATTCCATAATTTATCTCTTTATTCAGATAGCTGTGGAATCTTAGTGGCTATATGCCTGCCTAGTGGCCTAAAGATCTAGAGTTCAAATTTGCATCAAGGCGGACTTTTGTCTTCAAAACTGACTTTAGAGGCAATGTCATGAAAAGTAAAGCTAAATGGTGGGAAGCTAACAACATCATCACTGCTGTTGTTGACTAATCTTTAAATGATATAGGTCTATCCCTAGATGACCAATGCGCCTAGGGGTAGAAAGGCATTTCTGCTTTGTTTACTGTCTCTTGATCACTTCCAACTACCTAAATCTTGTCTTTCTCTTTCACACTTGCCATCATCTTTCAAGAATGTGCTTTTGTCTTTTGACACAGCCAAAGCAATTTACTTGATCATGTTGAGTAATGTTTTCTTCATGCTCAACTGTCTGCTGCCATTTTTGTGTCATCCCCTCTTGCCACTGTGCTCCTCCTTTTAGCTTACACCAAAATCTTCAATTCTGTTATCACATTCTACTCAATGCCTATGCCTGAGTTGGTAAATATTGTTGTTGTTGCTGCTGCTGCTGAAAAGACAATATCCTGTTCAATATTTTTAGATCCCACTGGGACCTCCTTTGTCTTAAAGTGTAGCCATGACACTGATGTCTATTCGCAGACTTCTCTCTTGTTTACTGCAAATCTTTTCTGATGCAGATTTTCTTCTATGACAGTCGATATCGATATCAAACTACCCAATATCACCTGTTTGGTCTCCCTCTAGAGGAGAGGAAAGGTAAGAGAAGAGAATAGGGAAGATAGGGGCCATGCCAATAACTGGGAAATCTAAGTGCTGTCTCTTTGTCACTCACCCGACTTCTCCCACTGTGAACATGGTTTCCAGAAACAACAAGTCAGGAACTGCTCCTACCCCATGTGTGGCTGTTGATGTTTTATCCACAGATTGTAACAGTTTCAATTCTTATACAGCTCGCCCTTTCTTCACCCTTACTTCAATGAATACCATAACAAAAAGTAGGCAAGCAGTTGCCAGAAATAACCATATGAGTTGTGTACATGACCTTGTCCTCTGTGCTGGCCTGTCGCAAAACTAATACAATGCGAACACTGAACAAATAGAATGGACGCCCACAGTACACCTCAAAAGAAACAGACACTATTGTAGCTGTAAATCCCATATCTTCCAGTGAACTCTGTTTTTATTTCCACTTTCCTGTTGCCGCAGGAAGATTTTAACTATATTCATACATATAATTAAACAGTCTTTTACCAGTTTCTTCCCTCTGCTAACAGCTTCCAGAACATTCTGTAAGGAACCATCATCTTGTTCAAAGACCTCAGCCGACCACAAGGCACAGTTGATATGAACCCAGTCGTCCTGTCCACAGTACAGTAGTCTTCCAGCAAGCTGGTGATATAAGAGGTTGGGAAGTGAGAATCCCATAGTGCTGTAAGATAATATAGTTCTTTGAAATGCTCTCACAGGGCTTAAAGATGATCCCATAGTGCTAAAATATGATATATCCTATGAGATGCTCTCACAGTGCTATAAGAAGATTCCATAGCTCTATAAGATGATATAGTCCTATGATATGCTCATACAGTGCTATAAGATGATCCCATAGAGCTATAAGATGATATAGTCCTATGAGATGCTCATACAGTGCTATAAGATGATCCCATAGAGCTATAAGATGATATAGTCCTATGAGATGCTCATACAGTGCTATAAGATGATCCCATAGTGCTAGAGGATGATATATCCTATGAGATGCTCATACAGTGCTATAAGATGATCCCATAGAGCTATAAGATGATATAGTCCTATGAGATGCTCATACAGTGCTATAAGATGATCCCATAGAGCTATAAGATGATATAGTCCTATGAGATACTCTCACAGTGCCATGATCCCATAGTGTTGTAAGATGATATATCCTATGAGATGCTCTCACAGTGCCATGATCCCATAGTGTTGTAAGATGATATATCCTATGAGATGCTCTCACAGTGCTATAAGATTATCTTACAGTGCAATAAGATGACATAGCACTATATGATTATTTTATAGTGCAATAAGATGACCTCATAGCGTTACACGATACAGTGCTATAAAATGATCTCAAAGTGTTATGAGATAGTTCTAAGAATGATCTTAAAGTGCAATAAGATGGCCTCAAAGTGTTATAAGATTATCTGATAGCGCAAAAAAATGACCTCATAGTGTTATAAGATTATCTGATGGTGCTATAAAATGATCTCATAGTATTACAAGATTATCTGATAGTGCTATAAAATGATCACATAGTGTTATAAGATTATCTTAAAGAACTATAAAATGATCACATAGTGTTATAAGATTACCTTTAAAATGATCTCGTAGTTTTAAGATTATCTGATAGTAATAAGATGATCTCATAGTGTTACAAGATAGTGTGATAAGATGATTTCAAAGTGCTAAATGAATATGTTCCCATGTTATGAGAAGAGGGAAAATAGAACATGTTGTGACCACTGGAAAGACCTGTGGAAGGAGGGATAGAGGAAGACAACGAGAGAAGATGCTTGACAGTCTTGTTGCATGGCATGGAGGTGTGTCGGCACACGAACTGATACATGCTGCAGGAGATCGCGGATTATGGAGAGGCATGATCGCCCACGCCAGTCGGCAAGGCACCTGATGATGATGATGAAATGAATATGATCTCATAGTGCTATACCAGGATCTCGGTGCCAAACAAAGTATTATAACTTATAGTATAAGATAATGTAATTAAAATATATTATAATCCCACTGTACTTTAAGATCCATTCAGGGTACTTTAAGATTCATTCAGGGTACTTTAAAATCCATTCAGGGTACTTTAAGATCCATTCAGGGTACTTTAAGATCCATTCAGGGTACTTTAAGATCCATTCAGGGTTAATTTAAGACCACTGAGGAAATAAGAACGTCCAAGAGAAACCCTAAGACAAATGTTGCTGAGAGAGGCCAAAGGTACCCGAGTGGATTCCATATATCTTCTTCTTCTTCGCATTCACCAGCTGTACACTCTGGCGGAAAGTTCTGGTTGTTCGTCCACTCCTGGACTGCAGTCCTGATCCAGAACCCGAGTGTTGAGTGTGCATCAGTTTTACAGATCTGATTCCCTTGAATGCAGACTGTTGGTTCCTTGCCTCTCAGGCAGACACACTCCGACTTCAAAGGAAACTCCCAATTAGTCGACTCTTACGACATGCTTTTGGGTAGGCAGTGGGTCTATTCTTATTTTCCCCACAATGGGGCCCCGGAACCCACATGGGGTGATACCATATATGAAATCAAAAGACTACATAGGACAGCATAGAATGAAGGGCTGCAAGCCCAATATGATGTATAATGGCATAACACAATGATGATGATATCCTCAAGGAATCTCAAATTACACAGGCAGCTCCCAAAGAACATCAACGGTACCAATCACCAACGTACATCAGGTTCATCATCTCCCAGTCGCTGACACAACAGACAAGCTCGGCTGTCTTCACTCGAAACAAAAGGATGCTGAATCTTCTCCGCAGAACACATTTCTGAAGTGCTTCCTGTAAAACAAGGTAAGGTTTTAAACAGCCAGTTTAATGCAGTCATCAATAAAACTGCTCATGTTCTACATGCTGGTTAGTGTTGGTGGCAACAGTGTACCCAACCATGCTTATCTCTTTCAGTCCCAAACAAAGTACCACATGGTCAACACCTGTTTTATATTTGCACATCTTGTTCATGAATCTTGCAACACAAGTCACCCACGGTGTGCTGGGTGTTTGGACCCTGTGGATGCAGTATACCCATGCTTTTGTTGTCCTCATTATTGCTTAAATCAGGCATCCCCTATGATCTTCTGGGAAAACACTACTGACATCTCTAACAAAAATACTGATAGGCAACCAGACAGTGGCATGGTTACTAAAGTTTGAAGTCTGAGTCCAAAGAAGCTCAGCACAGTGCACAGGCTCTGTAGCACCGGCGAGGATCCTGAAATACTTTGGATAGATTTATAACTCAAATTTTGTCCGGGCAGTGCCGTTAGGCTACTCTTTTAGATTTTTTTGCGGGCGCAACAATGCACACAGGCGTCCAATCTCACTACCCAGAGATCAGGGGAAATCATTAGAAGTCCAAAACCACGTGAAAAAATTTCAGCCCTTACCGGAAATTGGACCTGGGACCTCTAGCACTGGAGGCGGACACCATGCCTCGAGACCATGCAGCCCCCTACAGCTAGTTATTGTAATCTCTTATCACATTTGTAGGGTTTTTATTTGTAGCCCCTATGACTCAGAAGGCGCAGATGGCTAGGACACCATTGGAGGATGAAGGATGGTAGTCACTAAGAACATCTTCTATGGTGAATTACAGAAAGAGTGGAAGATATCACTGCTGCCATCTACCGTGATATCAAGCTGTATGCAAGTGAGACGTGAATGATACAAGTATTGAGATGAATTTGTGGGAACAGGATGTCGTAGACCGTGTGCACCGATAGGAAAAATCAAATAAAGAAGAAAATAAATGCAGATAGATTTAGAGAGAAGTGCCTGAGATAAAGCATGTAAAATACTAGCTAAGGCAACAGTGGGCCTGAAAATCTCATACTGGAACTGTGGAAGACTTTTCTCTCAACATGAGCGGATCTTGCTAGTCACACACGCCATGGTCAGTGTCTGGGATTCCTGTGTCTCCCTAAAGAATATTATAACACTATCATTTGGAGAGACAGAGAGGTAACAGCAAACACGAGTACTGAAATGTGATATTGATCTTGTTCTACTGTATGGCAGTGAATCTTGGAATGTGAGCAAACAAATTAAGAGGAATTTTGGAGGCAGCCGAGATGTGGTTCTTGAGAAGAATGTTGCGAATACCTTGGACTGCCAGAATAACTTTAAATGATTGCCTGGAAATGGCTGGTGAAAGCATTTATGCTCTTTCTCTCATGCCTATTCTTCTGATTCACTTACATACAGTCTATCTGTGTGGCGTTGGTAGTCATGTTTATCCACAACCTTCTGTCTCATGTGCCTTTAATCAATTCTGATACAGATGATCTTCAATATCATGTAAAACTATTCAGCATCTTCGCTCTCGGTCTCCCTCTACTTCTTTGCCTCTCCAACTTCCTAGACCATGATGTATCCAAATTTTCTCCACCCTAAGATTCATTCTTAACATTTAAACCAAAAAAATGTTGTAGAAAAAGCAGAAAAACAAATGAAGAGACTAACCATCCACTGTGGTGCTCCTCTGAGGATTTCCAACTCTCTTAAAAGCAGAAGGTTGGGGTGTCATAGGAACATCCTTTCTCTCCAGCCACTGTGCATATGTGTGGTCAGCTGAAGGGGGCAGCACTGCATCTTTCAGCATCCCACTGGCAGTAGGCAAGTGTTTTTACATGAATTATCAAATAACAAAAATTAAAACAAAGAAGATAGACACATAGATTGCACAATTTATTGTCTGGTATATTTTGCTGCATCCCTTGACGTGCATATCACAATAATACATAATGTTTTACCAGGGTGAACTTAAATACATAACCACCACTTTTTTCTCTCAATAACAAAAAAAAAATTAGAACAAGGAAGTTTCGGCCTATTCAAACCATTAAGAAATCAACTCAGTTAAAGTTTCAGGGAATCCCTATTCTCACAATTTGCTAAAATTTAGTTGTTTTCTTCTTCTAGCTTAATATCTAGTTTTCTATTCTCACAATGTAGCTAATATATAGTTGTCTATTATCATAATGTAGCTACCATTTGGTTTTCTACTTTCTAATATAGCTTAATATCTAGTTTTCTATTCTCACAATGTAGCTAATATATAGTTGTCTATTATCATAATGTAGCTACCATTTGGTTTTCTACTTTCTAATATAGCTTAATATCTAGTTTTCTATTCTCACAATGTAGCTAATATATAGTTGTCTATTATCATAATGTAGCTACCATTTGGTTTTCTACTTTCTAATATAGCTTAATATCTAGTTTTTCTATTCTCACAATGTAGCTAATATATAGTTGTCTATTATCATAATGTAGCTACCATTTGGTTTTCTACTTTCTAATATAGCTTAATATCTAGTTTTCTATTCTCACAATGTAGCTAATATATAGTTGTCTATTATCATAATGTAGCTACCATTTGGTTTTCTACTTTCTAATATAGCTTAATATCTAGTTTTCTATTCTCACAATGTAGCTAATATATAGTTGTCTATTATCATAATGTAGCTACCATTTGGTTTTCTACTTTCTAATATAGCTTAATATCTAGTTTTCTATTCCCATAAAAAAGCTAATATTTAATTCTTGTTTTTATGTTATTCTCACAATGAAGTTCTTTTTCTTTCGTCCGAGTAAAGAAAATGCGTT